GGATCCTGAGCCAATGGGATGGTGCTGCCCATATTCAGAATGTGTCTTCCTCCACAGTTAATCCTATCTGAAAACACTCTCACAGACACACCTAGAGTATGCCTTACCAATTTCCTAGGCAATTTAAAATCTAGCAATAAAGACTAGCCATTAAAAAAGCTTAATAAACATTTCCCCAAAGAAGACACACAACAGGGCATATGAAACAGTGCCAGCATCACTATCCATTGTATTGTAAGAAAATCCCAAAAGATAAATATTGATGAGGAAATCAAGAAAAGGAAACTTGAAAACATTGTTGATAGGAACATAAATTAGTATAGCTGTTGTGGAAAAGTGTGAAGGTGATTAGGCTAGACCTCTGATCAGCAACCCTAGCACTGTGTATCCATGCTAACGTAGTGGAAACAGCAGTCCAAGAGGTTCCCGAATTCCCATGCAATACCATTCACAGTGGCCAAGCCACCACACAGTTGACTGTCTATCAGCAAACAGCGGAGAGAGCAAGTGTGGGATGTCTACAATGGGATACTTTTCAGCCAAAGAATGAAATCCTGCCATTTGTTGTGACATGGGTGAACCTGGAAGATACCATATTAACTGAAATACAATTTTAGTCTCAATAAAATTTGAACTGCAGAAGCAAAGTAGGAAATGCAGGTTACTAGAGGGTGAGCTATTAGGGGAGAGGAGAAAGATGAGATGTTGGCTGAAGACACACATAGGAAGGAACAGGCTTCGAGGGATGGACTGTACTGCAGGGCTACTGTAATTAATGACACCACACTTCAAAGGGGTAGACTGCACTTCAGGGTGACCATAGTTAGTGATACCAACATTGCAGTCTTGAAAAATGTAAAGAGAGTAGATGCTATTTGCTTAACCGAAAACCAAACCAAACCAAGCCAAACCAAAAACAAACAAGAAACTATACAGTGCAATGCATTTGTTAATTAGCAACATTACCATCCCATAACAACATTAAAATACCATGTTTTATATGATAAAATTACATGGTTATCCTTACATTTAAACATTTTCAAATAAAAACATCCCCAGATCGTTAGTCTATAGACTTTGATATATAATGTTTACATTTTCATTGCTGAGCTGGGTGTGGTGGCACACATCTTTAATCCTAATAGTTGGCAGGCAGAGACAGGAAGATCTCTGTGAGTTGAAGACCAGCTTGGTCTACACAGTGAATTCCAGGAGAGCCAGGGCTACATAGAGAGTCTGAGAATGAAGTTTTTTTTTTTGTTTTGTTTTGTTTTTTTTTTTTTAAATCAGGACATCAGGACATTATATAATTAAAACCACACTGCTACAATCCACACTTACACAGTTCATTTGTGTAGCTTGTTGAGCTTCGGTAACTTGTATCTATGGAAACATAGCCTCAACTAAGACAGATAACAGACTCCCAACCCTAAGAGGGTCCTTTGTGAACTTGACCTCACTCTGTACTCAGGGCCAGGTGACCACTGTCTTTTTCCCGTCACCACCCTTCCTAGCCTTTTAAATAACTGATGTAGACAGTTTGTAACACTTTTTTACTTCCCCAGCCAGGTTTCTGAGATTTATCCATATTGTTATGATTTCATACTTTGGCTAAATTGCACAGGAAACTTTAGAAGGTTTGGCGGATCCACAGGGTTCGAGAGTAGAAAGAGGGATCTAGTGGGAAGTTCACGAGGTTAGTAGCTCCCATCTCCCCAGAAAGCCTTGTTTCTGGTCTGTGACTCTGTGCTCCTCAGAGAATGCCTGCTTCTCTGGGATCCAAGAAAACAAGGAGCTTTACTTGGGAGTGGGTGTGGGGTGGCGCAGCCGCAGCCCCCACAGGCAGCATCCTGGCTCCTTTCTCCGGTTTCTGCATCCTCTCCCGGGTCTGAGCTTTCTTTGTTTTCCTCTCTGTCCTCACCCTCCTCTAGTGACTCTGGTTTACAGAAGTCTGGTTTTGGCTCTGCTGATGGGGACTTGCATGTTTCTCAATAATATCTTAAGGCTCTTTCAGTTTCTCAGATTTAGAGTTGAAAGTGTACAGTGATAAATAAATAATGATATGAACAATTGCTGCACGCCCCCCCCCCCCAGCCCCCACAAGCTTCTTTCATTCTTGCCTCTTCTACCTTACAGCTTTTGCTGATGAACCGTTAGAGTCTGGCAATAAACTGTTGCTTTGTATAGAATGGAGAATGGTCTATAACCGCTGCACTTGCAGTTCTGAATGAGTGAGTATATAGCAAACCAAAGTAAAAAGAGCAAATAACAACGGGCAGGTAAGATAGCTAAACTAATGGGTGCTCAAAACGTGCAGCAGATAGATATCCACCGGGGAAGACGAGGAGTCCCTGATAGAGTCCCAGGCAGAGCCAGGGACCCTCAGCTGAGGTTTGCAAGGGAAAGAACAAATAGCAACAGAGATGCCAGCTGTAACTTTTAAAACTATAACATTGAAATTGACAGTGATTGTCCTGTTTTGGCACAGATTTGCTCCGTTAGGCCTTTGATCATGGGTTCTAGTCTGGTGATCTTTCTCGGGAGAGCCTTGCCGGTCTCTGTGATTTTTAGCTCGTGCATCTCCTCTCTCCTCTTCTCATCTCTCTGGTTTTCTCTGCATTTGAGAAGCAAGGTGCGAATGTGGCCCGGTGTCAGGGTGTGAAATAAGGGAGGGCCTTATTGACATTCCAGATCCTGATGGGTGTCTGGGACAACAGCCTGAGCTGGAAGCACAAGTCCGACTTGTCAGGGTGACATATGGGACAGGTCTATACAGGTGCCCTTCCTTATGCAAGGCCCCATGGCTTCCTGGAAGAGTCCACAGGAAGAAGGTCTCAGAGGTCAGGTTTGCTGGACCAGTGAGGACTCACACCGGTGTTTCACCCCATCCTCTAGCTTCTCTGCCCCACCCCCCCACCCCCACCTTCTCTGGGGCCACATCACCTGCCTTGCTGTTCTTGTTGCCCCTTCTCTTGGCTGTTGGAAACCCCACTGTCCTTTTGTCGTACCCCCTTCAGAATGGGGTCCCATTAGAGCCAGGATGCCACTTGCTGGATTTGCTCAGCCAGCTTTCCTGGAGCGCGTGAGGCTAGCTGTCGTAGGGTTACTGTTGCTGTGAAAAGACACCATGGCTAGGCAACTCTTATAAAGAAAACACTTAATTGGGGGTGGCTCGCTTACAGTTTCAGGGGTTCAGCCCATTATCATCATGACAGGGAGTGTGTTGGCATGCAGACAGACGCAGCTGTCTGGAGCTGAAAGTGCTACATCTTGTAGGCAACAGGAAGTCGACTGGCAGTCACACTGAGGGAATCTTGAACAAAGGAGACCTCAAAGCTGGTGGCTCCCACAGTGACAGACTTCCTGCAACTAGGCGGGCCGCACCTCCTAAGAGTGCCGCTCCCTTTGGGGCCATTTGTTTTTTTTTTTCTCAAACCACCCCACTAGGCTTAGGAACTGAAACTGTGTGAGACTCCCCAGGGCGTGTGGTCCCCTGTGGCGCTGGAGTTGCTGTGAGGCTCACACTGACAACAGAGACTCTAACACGGGCTTTTCTGCGCAGTCTGTTCGGGTCCTGCCAGGCATCCTCGGTGAGCCATCACTAAGACCTCTATGTCTCCACCCATCTTTTACTTCCCCCTCCTCCTCAGTGAGGACTGAACTCCAAGCTTAGGCCCCAGTGAAGATTTCTTCACTCCCTCCAGGTCGGGGAAGCTACAAGTTCACCCCACACTGCAGTGTGGCCGTGGAAAGGTCTGCTTTGGAGGTGGCTTTGCTCTTCACAAAGGGACTGTTCTGCTGAGGAACATTATAGATTATAAAGTTTGACTAATCTGCTTTATTACTACCCCCGAAGGCTCTGGCAACCTGTATTCCCATCAAGAACGTATGGGTTGTGAGTTTGACATTATATCTAATCTAAAAAATCATCTATCAGACCCAATATTACACAGATTTTTGTTGTTTCTGTTTTCCTCAAAAAGATTTTTTGGGGGGATTTTAAATTTTAACTATTTACATGAATGTATATCTCTTTACATGTGAGCTCCCTTGGAGGCCAGAACAGAGTGTCCCATACCCTAGGGCTGGAGTTACAGGCAGTTGTGAGCCACAAGATGTGGGTGCTGGGAGTGGAACTCAGGTCTTCTGCGTTTCCATCTTTATCAAATGCCTGTCCACTCTGGTGGTCTGTCCTCTCCACCCTGTTTCTCAGTATGTCTGTTCTTCCTCTGACACTGGTCATTCATGCCAGGCTCACTAGCTCCCCAGCTCCAGAGATTTTCCTGTCTTAACCTCCTATCTGCGTGTAGGAGTACTGGGATTATATAACCATGGGCTACCTTATCCAGTTTTCCATGGGTTCTGGGGATTTGAACTCAGGTCCTTATGCTTGCCTGGCAAGTGCTTTACCTCTGATTTCTAGGATTTCATCATAAAGGAGTTGAAAATTGTTGAATGCTCTTCACTTTTATGAGAACGATCATATGGACTTCCCTACCTAGTTGGTAGTATGATAAATAGCATGATTTGCAAATATTGAACCAATCTTTTATTACTAGAAAAAGCCTCCTTTGACTATGTAGTATTTCTTTTTTTAGATTTATTTTTATTATTTTAATTATGTGTAGGTACATATGTGTGTGTGTGAGGGGGAGGGTATACACACATGAATGTAAGTGCCCAGAGGTCAGAGGTATCAGATCCCCCTGGAGCTAGAGTTACAGTTGTGAGCTGCCTGATGTGGGTGTTGGGAACTGAACTCAGGTCCTGTGGAAGAGCAGTATCTCCCCAACTCCCAACTATGTATGTATCTCAGCTTACATCTGTGTCTTGATTTATAGTTGTATTTATATGCTTTTTAAAAATATTTTTTCTGAAACAGGCCTTACTGTGTAGTAAGATTGCCTAGATCATACTACGTAGCTCAGGCTGACACCAATCCTCTTCTCTCATACTCGACCACACCCAGTTTGTTTTTAATGTTTAAAATATTTACTTACCTGGTGTGAGAGGGAAGTCAGAGAACAACTTCAGGAAGTTGGTAGGGTCTGCAGTGTGAAGCCACACAAGCTCGTCCCCTTCCTCCATAGCTGTGGCCTTTCCAGGCAGAGGGAGGACATGTCACTCCCACCCTAGTTTGTATTCAGACGTTTGCAATTCACCAAAACAGTCACGTAAGTGCTCTTGCCCACAGATGGATGCTAATGGCTTGCATTCTGGGTAAGAAAATCCTGAGAGCTACTTCTCTGAGGCCCTGGTTTTCTTCCAAAAGAGATCTGCAAACTGCTTAACCCATGACCTCAGGTGTCTGGTGGTTCTGAGAAATCAATCGTCTTCGATTTGCACAGCTTTTTCCTTCAAGCACCTTCTTTCATTGGAGCTCCTGGTATTTGGAGTTCTTGAGAAATTGCTGGAATGGATGAAAAGCTGTTCACCATCAAACTACTTTGTATACAAGTTTCTTGATTGAACCCCAGCAATGGTGAATGAGCTAGCACCTCGTTTAGCCACTAAGCAATGGGCTCTGTGTTCTACCTCTTTTCCTAAAAGCACTCAAGTATTAATCAACAGGTGAGTGAAGCATTAAGCAAGCATTGGGGCTTTGTTTGGTGAATGAGGGCAGAGTCAAGGGTGTGTGAATGGCCGTAATTATGACGGTGAATAAACAAAACAAGACACCCACGTTCAGTAAGTCAGGAGTGAGGGAGGATGAAGAGGTAAAAAAAAAAAAAAAAAAGCCAGATGAGGCAGGACCTGTCATCCCAGTATGATAGCTGTGAGCTGTGAGTTTGAGGCTAGCCTAGGATAAATAGTGAGTGTCAAGCCAGGGCTCCATGGCCAGACACTGCCCTGCCCCCTGACCCACATAGCAAAAGAGACAAGCTTGTGATTCTAGCTTCCAAGGAAGCTGAGGTAGGTGGATCATGAGTTCAAGGCCTGCCTGGGCTACACACTGAGTTTGAGGATAGCAAGAGAAACTTAGATCTTCTTGTCTCAAAAAGTAAAGGGGCTTTGGGAATAAAGTTCAGTGGTAGAGTGCTTGCCTGGCATGTACAAGGTCCTAGACAAAAACAACAAAAACAAACAAACAAACAAACAAACAAACAAACAAACAAACAGCCTTTCTGGTATCCACAGAGCCACATAATCCACACGAGCTTGTACACTCTCTCCCTCTCTCCTCTCTCACACACTCTCACACCCACACATTAACGTGTTGTACTGAACGTTCAGACCTTTCTCCTTGCCATTATTTCCTTACCAGCAGAATATAACAACTATTTTCATTGTATTAGGTGTTAAATAATAATCTAGGGGTGATTTGAACTGTGCAGGAGGTTGTACACTACTTATATATAAACACTATGCCATTTGTATAAGGGACTTGAGCACTTGTGGTCTCCATGTCCGTGTGGGACCCTAAAATGAAACCACTCAGGGATGAGTGTACTGTCCTACAAAAGCCCTGACTTTGACATAAATCCTCACCCCTCAGCTCCTCAGCTGATGTCCCAAGGTTTCCACAATGAGACTGAGGTCCTATTTTGCTGTATTGTTTGTTTGTTTTGTGTTTTGAGAAGGGGGTTCTCTGTGTAGTCCTGCAGCTCCCAGAACTCACTCTGTAAAGTCCCTGTTTTTGTTCTTACCTGTCCCACTTCCGGAGGCAAACCCAGTGTGAATCCATCACCAACCCACAGCCTGCTTTCCATCTTGGCACCTTGTGTGTCTGGAGACCCTGGAATGCTTACCCGTGTGACCTCCTCTAACTAAACCGACTAGCCACCATGAGGGCTGAGCCCAGGTGATGAATACTCAGTTGAGTATTAAAGGCGAGGAATCCAAGTCCCTTTCTGGCATCTGGATGACGGGAAGTTATCCCTCTCCCCTCAACAACACACACAGCATCTACCACACAGAAATCACTGTGTCACCCCTTCCCGCGGACAGAGGGACATTTCCTGTCTGCCTGTCTGCTGCAGTGTGCCTGCTTGTTAACGTACAGCAAAGCAAAGTCTGAGGAGCAAGATGAAATGGGTAAAATCAGCCGCTGCCTTGGGTTTCTGGTTGTCATGGACACCACATTTTCTATTGTTAGTAACTCTGGTCTCTATGGTGAGCTCACACTTAAAGGGAGAACCTTAGAAAGGCAGGAAAGACAATTGGGTGTTGAATGAATGGGGCTAGGGCAGATTTGGGGAGGACAGACAGATGGGAAAAGGCGAAAAGCAAGACATTCCAATCTCCCCCTCCCCCAGTAAACATTATATTTCAAATCCGTTTGAATCTTGTTTTAGATCCATTCCATCTGTTCCTGTTGAGGCTGTAAGATCATTTCTGTCATCCTCTGGCTTCCTGTTCACTACTCCACAGTCCACGGTATCTTTACAAATGACCAGGCGAGTGTTCAAGGCGAGGAGAGACTTCTCAGTAAGAAGTATGTGGAAGCCTGTGCCGGAAAGGGCAAGAGTGTGTTAGCTGCGGCGCATGCTCTGCAGCTGTGAAGGGACCCAGGACATGCCCTGACTCACCCTTGGCGAGTGGGTGAGACTCAGATGGGATCCTCTAATTCACCCGATGAAGGATAAGGCAGGGGTGTTGGTGGCACGTGGGGACTTGGCCTGCCCCTTGGTCTGGCATCCACAGGGTGGTCCCTTACCCACAGGATGCAGCACCCTTAGGAAAGGAGTGTATGGTGGAACTTGGAATAGCCAACCACCTGGGCTTAGCTGACTGTGATGTTTGAGGGCAGTTTTCATACAAAACCACATCTAATGCCAATTTTAAGTTTAGGGGATCTTCCAAAAAACCCTAAGTTTGGGTAAGCCATTAAAAGCCTCAGAGGACTCACTGGAAGCTATTGAATTCATTCAGAGGAGGAGATACAGAAGGCAGGCATGGCGGAGTTCCAAATGTGAAGTTCTGTTCTCTCCCAGGGAGTCAGGGTGTGACTCACTTCCAGCCCTAACACAAGACTGTTTGCTGAGTATTGCTAACCCGAGAAGCTCACCAGAGTGTCAAGGGCTAGACAGTCTTCACTGGGATTTTATGATGTCGGCTTGACTGATGGGTCTTCTAGAAGCTTGAGCTAAGTCTCTAGGTCAGTTGATGGCACCACCAACACCCTTGCCCTATCCTCACACCACGTGGTTGGCCTTTCTGGTATGGCCACCCCAGAAGACTTAACCTAGTGTAGTCAGCCACATCTTAGACAAAAACAAACTGCCACCAGATTTGGCATAGATTGCCTCTCTGAAGCCAACACAAAGGCCAGACGTCCCTTTGTGCAGGGCCAAACTCACTACACAGTCAACAGCAAGCTAGAAACAGAAAGTTAATTCACTCGGGGAAGAAGAAAGGTCCCTTGTCAGGGAGAACACGTGACTCTGATTTCTTCCTCTCTCTTGCTTGGTGGATCAGTCAAGTTTATATCAACCTTCCCCCAAGCGTAGGAACTGAGATACAGATATACATACCCGAGAGTCACACCATAAGGAAAGCCACTCCTTACCCACAATCCTAACAGCAGGCTGGCTGGACCTTTCTTTGTAAAATTAGCAAAACAGAAAGGAAGAAGAAAAAGCCAGGTGTGGGGCTGATAACTAGTACCGGCTCTCAGAAGGTTGATGCAGGGGGATTGCTGTGAGTTTGAGGCAACAGACTGAGACTCAGCATTGAAAAATCTTTTATAACACCCACTCTGAGTCTGGCAGCTGAGAAAGTATTTGATAACTAAGAAATGGGAAATTGAGATATATAGAAGGGATGTTCCTTTTGTTGGGGAAAAAATAAGTAAAGAAGAAGGAACATGTTTGAAAAGTACCTCTAAAGTGTCCCCCATATAATTAGGGCACAATCTTGAAGAGATGAATGGTGGACACTGTCATAGTTGGCTTCTCTATTGCTTTGACCAAAAGCAACTTGGAGGAGGAGGAAGAAGAGGAGGAGGAAGAGGAGGAGGAGGAAGAGGAGGAGGAGGAAGAGGAGGAGGAGGAAGAGGAGGAGGAGGA